TTTTCACTACATTGATTGTGAAAACTTACTGTTTTAGAAGTCTGGCTTTTGTCTGATAATAGTAGCATGGAGAAGGGCCAAAATAAGATTGTGATGCACGTGACTTTCATATTGCAGGCCTAATAGAAAAGAGAATATTTTCATTTCAATAAGAGACTAGAACTTGAGATTTTGAGGACATTTTGATTTCCTTTTTTTCTCTTTTAAATCTATTTTTTCTTAAAAATACATAAAATGTGAAATAAGTACAAGGCCATCCACCATCTCTGCACTCTAATCTTAACAAACTAGAAAGCCCCTGTAGAGAATGAGAGACTTAATATTTTATAGGGTGTCTTATTAGTTCTTAGATCTGTTGAAAGGAGCTTTAAAGCAATTGAAGTAGTTGTACATTTAAAAATTTTAATATATAAGTGCACAAAAATCCAGAAGAATATATATTTTTGTATATGTGCATTTTAAGTATATGCTTATGTTCCTACTTCTTTTTGTTGTTGTTTGTTTGTTTTTGAGACAGGGTCTTGCTCTGTCACCCAGACTGTAATGTGGTGGCACAATCATAGCTCACTGTAACCTCCAACTCCTGGGCTCGCTCAATCCTCCTGCCTCAGCCTCCTAAGTAGCCAGGACTATAAGTGTGTGCCACCATGCCTGGCTAATTTTTAAAAAATATTTTTTTTGAGATGGGGTCTTGCTGTGTTTTCCAGGCTAGTCTCAAATTCCTGTGCTCGAGTAATCCTCTCACCTTGGCCTCCCAAAATGCTGGGATTATAGGTGTGAATCACTGCCTATATTACTACTTCTTGATTTTTCAATTTTAGGGATTATCTGTTGTTATTATTTGTTGCCTTATAACTGTGGGATATGAGAATCTTCAGTTCTCTTTTAAATAATCCCCACTTTCATTTCCAACACATCAAATGTATACTTACTATGTCTTTATCTCCTAACATAGTTAGATAGAATTTGAAAGATATTTTGGCTAGAAATAAAATTCTAGGTAGGAAATAATTTTCCGTCTAAGTGTTGATGGCATTCCCTGTTGTCTTTGGGTTTCTAGTATTACTGTTAAGAACTGTGATGCCATGTCACTAATTCTTTGTACTTTTATGTAACTTGTCTCTTCCTAACCCTCAAAGCTTTTAAAATCATACTGTATTCTGAAAATTTCATGATCCCATGTCTTTATGAGAGTCTGTTTTCATCCATTAAACTGGGTAGTTGGTCAGCCTTTTCAGTCTGGAAGCTATGTCCCTCTGTTCTGGGAAATTTTCTGAATTATTTCACTGATTGATGATATCGATGATTTATTTCCTTTCTCCCTTCCTTCCTTTAAATCTCACTTCTCTTTGTAGAACTAAATTAATTGGGTGTCAGACCTCCTGGAATGATTTTCTGATTTTTTTTATCTTTACTTTCATCTCTGTGTTTTTGCTCTGCTTTCTAGGAGACATCCTTGACTTTATCTTCAAACTGTTTTATTGAAGTTTTCTTTTTCCCAACTTTTTGATTCTGAGAGCCTTTTTTTGTTCTGAACATTTTCTTTAGTAGTATCCTGTTGTATGAATGTATTGTCTTTTCTTGTGCCTTTTTTGTTTTCTTTTTCCTTGAATAAACTCTAATGTCCTCAGGTTGTACTTTTCCAGTTTATTTTGGACAGTGTTCTTTATATTGGAAGCTTTCTTCATATATCTATTAATATTTTGTTTGGAGCTTATGTAGGAGTATGGGGAACTAAAAAGCTGGTTGGAAACTGTGCGTTTGCATGGGTGTTGACTCTAGACCTTACT